AAATTCGTTATTTTCAATCTACGACTGTTTATGGACATTGCTGAGCGCAATTGGCTGCCGCGTTCGCCCACAAATATACAGTCAATTCACTTTACAGTGTGTTCTGTGAAGCGCTTTGGGACGTCCTCCCGACGTGAAAATCGCTATATCAAATGCAAGGATTATTATTATTAATATTATTCCTGTATCTGCTACCAAACACAGTGCCACCTCCTTTTGTACAAATAATAATAATAATAATAATAATCCTTGCATTTGATATAGCGCTTTTCACGTCGGGAGGACGTCCCAAAGCGCTTCACAGAACACACTGTAAAGTGAATTGACTGTATATTTGTGGGCAAACGCGGCAGCCAATTGCGCACAGCAATGTCCCACAAACAGTCATGGATTGAAAATGACCAATTTATTATTGTTTTTGGTTTTGGAGGGATTATTATTAGGCTCTGTGTGGAGTAAGGAAACTTGCCCAAGGTTTCGCCCTCTGCCTGGAATTGAACTCAGGTCTCTCGCTTGCAAAGCGAGTGCTCAACCACTGAGCTACAGGACTCCAAATGCCAATCCTGCACTGTGATCTGCTCCTCTTTGTGAAGCAAATGCTGATTTCTATCAATTTCTTATCAAGACCCACATAAAGTTCTGAGGTAACTACTTAGTTCCAGCATTTAACTAAATGGGCAGAATGCCAAGAGATAAAAGTTGGTTATTTTATTCAGAGAAGGGAATTTTTCTATCCTAGTATCCTGGCCAACAATCCCCCTAATAAATTGATCACTCACTCCATGGCTGTTTATGGAACCTTGCTTTGTGCAAACTCGCTGCCGTGTTCACCCACAAAACACACAGTTGCTCCACTTTACAGTGTATCCTGTGAAACGCTGTGGGATATCTTAGTTTAACGCAGAGAAGTGTGAAGTGATGCATTTTGGGAGGAAGAATGAGGAGAGGCAATATAACAACAACAAATTACATTTGTATAGCGCCTTTCACGTAAGGAGGACGTCCCAACAAATATACAATAAATAGTACAGATTTAAAGGGGGCACAGGAGCAGAGAGACCTGGGGGTTCACATACACAGGTCTTTGAAGGTGGCAGGACAGGTTGTTAAAAAAGCGTATGGGATTCTTGGCTTTATAAATAGAGGCATAGTGTACAAAAGCAAGGAAGTTCTGCTAAACCTTTATAAGTCAGCTGGAGTATGTGTCCAATTCTGGGCACCACACTTTAGGAAGGATATTAAGGCCTTGGAGATTTACCAGAATGGTACCAGGGATGAAGGATCTTAGTTATGTGGAGAGATTAGAGAAGATGGGATTGTTCTCCTTAGAGCAGAGCAGGTTAAGCAGAGATTTAATAGAGGTGTTCAAAATGATGAGGGTTTTGATAGTGTAGATAGGGAGAAACTGTTTCCACTGGCAGGCGGGTCAATAACTAGGGAACATAGATTTAAGATAATTGGCAAAAGAACCTGAGGGGAGACGGGGAGAATATTTTTACACAGAGAGTTGTTACAGTCTGGAATGCACTGCCTGAAAGGGTGGTGGAAACAGATTCAATAATCCCTTTCAAAAGGGAATTAGATTGGTACTTGAAAAGGAAAAATTTGCAAGGATATGGGGAAAGAGCGGGGGAGTGGGTCTGATTGGGCAGCTCTTCCAAAGAGCCAGCGCAGGCACAAAGGGCCGAATAGCCTCCTTCTGTGGCGTAATATTCTATGATTCTATGCCTCATGCATGACTCTAGACATTCAGAGCTGGAAGGCTACTCAACCTTGAGTTACATGAGAACCAAGCCCAACCTTTTAATTCAACATCTACATATGGAAGCTGGAGCAAGATTCACTGGATAGCAGTGAGAAGCAGAACACATGGCAGTTTTTTTGTCGACCTACATGGCAGATAATTTGCACACAGATATAAGTTGTCAGCCTCTCTGCTCCCACCCTTTGGAACTCCATCCCACTGTCCCTTTGCCGTGGTCTCTCTTGCCTCCTCGAACGCGTCTTTGGTCACTATCTTATCCCTATCCTCCTTGTCCTCCATCCCTCCTTATCCCAGTCCCCAGCATGGGTCCAAATCCCTGACTGTCCTCCCGATGTGAAAGGCGTTACACAAACATAATTGGTTGTTATCGTCCGTAAAATTGCTAGCACTCTAGGGGTTAAAAGCATCACCCATAAATGTGACCTGATGGTACGTTTCAGTGTGTAACCCTGGGGTTTACTGTATTATTATCTGTGTGTTGTCCAGCTCAGAAGATTTTCAGCTGTGACGCTGACAAAAATGCTGATGTTGCAGTAACAAACAGCAAGCTACCTTCTACAGTGTAATATTAATCATGTCTTACTAAAATAATCAATTACATCTTGAATACCGTTGTGATAATGATTAAATAGTGAATTGTTAAAAACTGTACAAAGCTGTGGTACAAGACCATTTAAAATGTACAGTTACACACATCATTGGTTCCTAACATGACAGAGCACCAGGGTTTAAATTGCGGAATTTGTTAATGGGATTTTTAATAAAGGATGCTGGTAGAATCTTCTCATCGATTCATGGGAAACTTGCTCAGGATTTTGATGATAATAATTATTATTTTCATTTGAGACAGCGCCTTTCATGTCAAGAGATGATGTCTCACAGAGCTTTGAAGGATATACTGTAAAGTTTATTGACTAGGTGTTTTGTGGATGAATGGAATGCTGGAACAGAATTCAGGCACGTTGGTGTGATACACTTCTTTTCAAAAGTTCTCTATTCCAAGGATTATTATTATTATTACTCCCCATTTGCACGACTTGGATGCCTTACTAAGATATCTCTGATTAAAAAATAGCAAAGTGAGACCCCTGTGTTTCATGAAATTCCTGCTAGTGTATAAATTATACATGGTATCATGTTACAAACTGCACGACTTCTGGCACATTTGCTGATGGGCACTGTTCCAGCGATCCTTTATCATATTTATGAAACAACTTATGAAAAGTATACCCCAAATATCAATGTTCGCACACTTAACAGTGGCATCTATGGTAATTGCTGTGCCTCACAAAGGCTTCACCAAGATCCTAATCGATGATCCCCACTTTCGGTATAAGGAGATTTTGTTGATCTCACCTAACTAACAAACTTGAAGGGAACATTGTGAGTTCCTGTGTTAATTTGAAAAAGGACATAACTCTCTCTGGGAAATGCTAAATCTCCACTTGGCCTCTTGATGAAAGTTTGGCAATAACTAATAATAATAATAATAACAATCTTTGCATTTGATATAGCGCCTTATCACGTCTTCTCGACACACAGTCATTACACTTTACTGAAAATCCTGTAAAGCGCTTTGAGATTTTTTGATGATGTGATGAGGCACTATAACTAATGCATGGGTTAATGTCTCAGTTTAATGTCTTGTCTGAAGGTTGGCACTTTCAACAGGGCAGCGCTCCCCCCAGCATGGCAATGGAATACCAGCATAGACTGCGAGTTCAAAGTCCTGACGTGGGGCTTGAACCCACAGACTTGGGACTCAGAGGCAAGAGTGCTACCAATTGAGCCACGCGACACCATGATGAAATATAAACAACATAAAAATGAATGAGAAATTGCGATTCGGCTCTCACCAACATAGAAATCCACATGCAGGACTTATTTTGCACACATTAGTCTTCCTCCAGCCCTGTGTGAAATCAGGAATCTGTAGTTTCTTTAGCAATCCCTCAAAGTATTTGCTACACAGCATCATTTACATTGGAGTGAACTTAGTAAACAGGTGCAACCATTCCTTCAGAAATAGTTTAAACACCAAATTCCAATTCTAATAATATCTTCAACTAAAATCAATACAACTAACCGTTTCACATCAGATCTCTTTGATCGGTAATTTCTTCAACATTTTTCCAGCATGTCAATTTAGAGTCTCATCTCATCCTCCCTTTAAAGATTCCTGCTGTAATTGATGAATGATATCCTAATAGATGTTCAACAACAACAACAACAAGATTCCATTTATACAGCGCCTTTCACGTCGGGAGGACGTCCCAAGGCGCTGGACAGTTGGGTCAGGACCCGAGCAGGGGGGAAATGGTCAGGGTGAGGGGAGGGAAGGGAGGGAGCGAGGAGGGGGTAGAGAGTCGAGAGGGGAGCTGAAGGCACGGTCAAAGAGAAAGGTCTTGAGACCGGCCTTGAAGGAGGAAAGGGAGGAAGGAAGGTGAAGGCACTGGGGGATGTAGTTCCATAGCCCAGGGGCTGAGAGCCTGAAGGCCCGGCCACCGATGGTAGGGTGGTTGGGGCGGGGGATGTGGAGCAGACCGGAGCCAGAGGAATGGAGGGTATGGGCAGGTAAGTAGGGGGATAGTAGGTCGGAGAGGTAGGAGGGAGCAAGGCTGTGAATGGCCTTGTAGGTGAGGATGAGGATCTTGAATTCAATTTAGTTCAATTTAGAGTAGCCATGTATCAATGAACAAACATCATCCTAAGAGCAACAACCCATGTTATGCAATGAGTTTACCCATATAATGGTCTTATGCATATAATGAGCTTTACTCATGTATTGAGCTGGTATGAATTGCCTAGAAAAATGCAAAGCCACTGCATATTACAATAAAATGTAACCTGCTGTGAGACAATCTCCTAGGATCCTACAACACAATGGAGGATATTCGGTCCATCTCGCCTGTACCAGCTCTGAAAAAGCTAGCTGACTAGTCCCACACCCCGCTCTTGCCCCATAGTCCTGCTATTTTTTTCTTTTCAAGAACACATCCAATTCCTTTCAGGCAGTGTATTCCAGATCGTAACAACTTTCTGGGGGAAAAAAAATTCTCCCCTCTGGTTCTTTGCCAATTATCTTAAATCTGTGTCCTCTGGTTACCGACTCACTCACCAGAGGAAACAATTTCTCCTTAGAGCATCTTTCTCCTGATGCAAAAGGTTAGATGAATTTCAAGGATTATTATTTGTAAATGACTTACAAGCCAGTTCAGCCTTCCTTCAAACTTACCCCCATTTTTCCAAATCATTCCAAGCTTTCCTTCCTTCCCCTTTTACAAGTTGGGCCAAGTTGGATGACCAGGATAATTCCAATTCAGCGATCTGGAAGGTTAAAGCACAGATTCACAAAGGAAAATAGTTTTTTTTCCACTTATTCTATTGGAAGCCAAATTCCTGCAAATAGATCTTCTGCACAATTAATCCCAACAATGTGCTTCCTGGACATAAGGCGTGGAGGTGTAGTGTTATCTGCTGTTGTCAAGTTGTTATGATGGAGGCTTCCTGCTACTCCTTCTGTTATGCGATGTACAACTTTGGTGATTGGGTGGAGAAAGTGGGTTCAATTATGCAGGAAAATCACTCCAAACAACAGGACAAATGTTTCACTAATGACGGGAACAAAAGCCTTTTGGAGTTTTGACCTGAGTGTACAGGACTTAGTGTAGCCAATACTTTCGTGAAGCCCTGAAACCAGTCAGTAGGGGCATTTGGCTACATTTATCTGGATTTGTAAGGCTCACTTAAGCTACAGGAATAACATCTGCAATGTGGACTTTCAATAGGAACACTAGATCTTGAATACTATGAAACCAATGTTCGTACATCCCCCTCAACCCTGCTACACTCCACCATTGATGGGTGAGCTTTCTGCTACTTTGTCCTCACCCATTGAACTTTCTTTTCAAATCCTTCTGCTTTGTCGTCTCCCTCTCAGTTTTCAAAATCTTTTGTGTCTTCCACCATTTCCTCCTTTCCCTTCCGATATCTCTCCCAGCTCGGGCTCCCACTCCGTCTTTGTAAAGACTGTCAGCACCTTGGGACGTCCTCCCGACGTGAAAGGCGCTCTAAAAATGCAATCTTGCTGTTGTTGTTGTTGTAAAGTGTTCTGAGATGTTCTCCCTCCATGAACGGTGCTGTATAAGTGTGACTGGTTGATATCTAATCACTGTACTGGCATTCTTTCTTGCCTGGTGACCCACAGGTAAGATCAAAGATACTATCAAACAATATAAAATTGATAGCCAGAGGGCTGAATATTCTTACCATTTACAATACCAATAAGATAAACTGAGAGTTCTTAGATTTACTTAACAGTGGAGTTCACAGTGGGTCCACGCAAGTCAAATCCCAGCTATGTAAATGGAGTTATGGCAGGAGCCTTTATTTCTGGTAACGAATTGACATTCAGCCAATTTAAACTGGAAAACGTCCACAGGAAAAGGACAGTGCAGTGTGCTTGATTTTGCTCCCTGTGATTCAGCAAAGGAAATATATTTGGTGACCTCATGAGCATTATCTAAGTATTCAGGAGTGATGGATGGTAATTACTCATTCAGTAGCGCTCTGGTTCTTTGTGAAGTTCCTCTGCTTGGAAAGATAAGACAGTCACTGACAGTGAACAGAAAGTTCTCTTTACACAATGAATTCAATAACAAATCTAAACATGGGAATCAAGCCAAGAAGTGACACATTAAATTATGTAGGCTTGTTTCTTTGATGATTATAAGTATTTGGCATAAATGACTTCCTCATTAAAATGCGGATTCCATTGTGCTCTTATTCCTATGTTCAACTTCCTGTGGATTGCACTGTGAAGTGTATTGATTGTATATCTGAAGTAAAATACAAGAAATACAAAATGGCAGACTCCTGGATGATCAGGTTGCTGCTGATGTCTCCGGGACGCTCCCACCGCATGAATGGCGCTATATAAATGTTGTTGTTGATAATAATATAATAATAATCCTTCCATTTAATATAGCGCCTTATCACATCTTCGAGACGTCTCAAGGTGCTTCACAGGATATACTGTAAAGTGGAGTGATTGTATATTTTATGGGCGAAATGCGGCAGCCAATTGCGCACAGCAGTGTCTCACAGACAGTCATGGATTGAGTGACCAGTTTATTATATATTTATTTTCAAGGAATTATTACCTTCGGAAAAGCGATCTGCCTATCAACTAACAACTGTTTTAAGTTTTAATTTAATTTAAAATTAAAACTTAAGATTAAAATGAAAAATTATGATGTCATTTTGTGCACCCTGTGAAGCATTTGCACGGTGCACATTGGTGGCAACTTGGCCTGTTTAGTGCAGGAAGCCAGTGCAATTGTACACAATGTGCAGAAAGTGATGTCAAGGACATTTTGGCCATGTGCTCTGTTATGATGCAAAGTTTGGGTTTATTGATTCAAAACAGAAAACATTTTGAGATGTTTGAATGTGATAGGGTGCTATATCAAATCCAAGAATTATTAGTACAGCTTGTCATTGCTAATAATGTCTGATAAACTAGAAGAAACAAGTCCTGAACATTCCTGGGTAGAATCCACCTGAGTCTAGCTTTACACCATTAATATAATATTCAGAGTGTTCAGAATTTGTCAAATTCTTAAATAGTTGTTCATTCTGCAACTTTTTTTTTGTAAATTTCTTTTAGGTACAGCAAAGCTGAAACTGAACTCAACAATTAGCCTAAAGCCTACACTCTGCCAATGAAGAAAACCCGGGCCCTGGTGGAATTTTACCCTGTGTATATTTTTTTACCAACACAGAAATTAAGGAAACCAACAATTAACTCTTTGAAAGGAAAGCACCAACCTGAAACTAGACAAAGCTCTAGTTGTTATTCCAGTCAATGACGCCAGCCTGTCTCTAGTGTTCAGTAAGTTTGGTTACTACATGCCTTGGTTGGTGAGTACATTGCACTTTTTATCTACTAGAAATTAGTTAATACTATTGCAACACAGTGGCTCATGTGTTAGCTAACCAAATAGACCAACAGAAAAAAGGACTCAGAATGAACGTGCGGTTTGTTTGGAACCGTGAGACTCGTTAAGTGTGTGTTCAAATTTATGATGACATAGAATAGTAGAAAGTTCAATCTTAATTTACAGAATGGAAAATCAGTTTCCAAATTGAATCCAAGATTATGCATGATCTTCATTTCTAAAGACAAAATTATCTTACAGACTAAGACTAGGTGGAATTTTGGTCCAATTGCAGTACACATTTGACCAGTATCTGACTCAATAATAATAATAATCTTTGCATTTTATGTAGCGCTTTTCACGTCTTTGCGACTTCTCAAAGCGCTTCACAGAATATACTGTAAAGTGAATTGACTGTATATTTTGTGGGCAAAATGCGGCAGCAGTGTCCCACAAACAGTCGTAGATTGAGTGACCACATTTTTATTATTATTATTATTTTTGGAGGGATTATTACCTCCAGAAAAGGGATCCGCCAATCGACTAACAACTGGGTTTCTACTTACTGCTAGGTGTACAGCGGCGTGTGGAGTAAGGAAACTTGCCCAACGTTTCACCCTGCCGGTAATCGAACCCAGATCCTCTCACTTGCGAGGTGGGAGCTCTAACCACTAAACTACAGGACTTCGAATGACAGGACATTAAAAGTAGGGTTAATTTCAAATCATTGAGCTTTATTTCAAATCAACAGCAGCAACAGAATTACATTTGTACAGCGCCTTTTACATCGGTCCAAAGGTGCTTGACAATTAATGTTTCGGACCCGAGCTGGTGGTCGGAATCGGGGTTGGGGAGGGTGGACAGCAGGAGGGGAAAGAGGGTGATTGAAGGCACGGTCAAAAAGGAGGGTCTTGAGACGGGTCTTGAAGGACACAAGGGTGGGGGTGAGGTGGAAGGACTGCAGGTTGGAGTTCCAGAGGGTGGGGGCAGAGTGGCCTAAGGCTCGCCCACCATTGGTGGGGCGGGTGAGTCGGGGGACGTAAAGCAGGCAGGATGCCACTGAGCGGTGGGAGCGGGCAGATTGGTAGGGGGTTAGAAAGTCGCAGAGTTAGCGGGGAGCAAGGCCATGGAGGGCTTTGAAGGTGAGAACCAGGATCTTGAACTGTATCCTCTGTGTGATGGGAAGCCAGTGGAGTTGGGCGAGGATGGGGGTGATAGGGTCGCAGAGCCTGGTGCGGCAGAAGACATGGTCTGCAGGGTTCTGGATGATCTGCAGCCTGTGGAGGGAGAAATTGGGGAGGCCGACAAGCAGGGAGTTTGCACAGTCAAGCCTGCATGTTATGAATGTGTGTATGAGGATCTCGGATGCCTGCAATGGGAGACGTGAAGGAGTCAAGTTCTCCTCTGCTAACTGCCCCGGTTGCATTAATTGTTAAACAATCAGAACGCAGTGTTTTAGATGGATTTTAATTACTTCAAGAAAGAAGTAGTTCTTGAGCAAGAAAATTACTGTTAAGAATGGATTTTAATTACTTCACAGTTCTGCAGAGCACAGCTTATCTTGCAATTCAGCAGTTACTGCCTCCAGCAAAATAATTTAATATTGTCCTCATAACCAAGGCCCACATGAGGGATGGAGACAGAAAGATTTCCAGCTTTCCGTCTGTCCATGCGTGGCCTATCAATGCGGAAGTCAGGTCACCCTGTCTAAGTCACCCCTCTTCATATGGGAGCCCAGACAGTGAGTGTCGGCATGCGAGTCAGTCACTCACAACCAAGCTAACACCCACACCTGAACCTTCCAGTGAGGGAAAACAACCAGGATAGGGATCAGAGACCTGAAATCTCTCAAAGTCTCACATTTAGTAGAGTTCTGTATTATAGTGGTTACTGTGCTTGCCTCGCAAGTGAGAGGACTTGGCTTTGATTCCCGGACAGTGCGAAACCTTGGGTAAGTTTCCTTACTCTTCATGCCTCTGTAGAAAGCCTCTGTAGGAAGCTTAGTTGATTGGCGGATCATTTTCCGGGGTAATAATCCATCAATAATAAATAATAATAATTTGGTCACTCAATCCACGACTATTGGTTGGACACTGCTGTGCGCCTTTGGCTGCCGCATTTTGCCTATAAAATATACAGTCAGTCTACATTACAATATATTCTGTGAAGCGCTTTGAGACATCTCAACAACATAATGAAGAGCTACAGCAAATTGAAGGATTCTTATTATATACTAATAAAGACAAAATGTCTGTGTGTGTCTGTGAGTGTGTGTCTGTCTGTCCACTAAAAACACAATAACCGATTGACGTAGAGTCATGATTTATACCTCATCAGAAAAGTCTTGCAAGGGGAAGTTCAGGGGCATATTTTGGGGGGATCGCCTATCGTTGATGAGCAAAATTTAAAAAATGTTTTAATTAAGCCCCTAAGTATGAGGTATGTATCATATTCTGCAATAAAGTAGCAACAGAGGAAATCACAGACCCTTCTAGAGAGATACATCTATACTAATATATTCTGCAACAAAGTAGTGCAGAGAAAAGCTATGACCTAAACAAGCTTGTCACACATGTATGGACTCCAACAAGGAGTCCTCCCACAGGAGTCCTACCAACAGGAGTCCTCCCAACCAGGAGTCCTCCTACAGAAGCCTTCCCACTGAGGCCCTCCAACTGAGTCCTCCCAAATGGAGTCCTCCCACAGGAGTCCTCCCAGCTGAGTATAGATAAAGATGAATGTCTGCATGTGTGTCTGTCTGTGAGTCAATCTACATTCTATGTTGTATCTTTTGGTTGCAAGCAAAACTGCAACGGGCACAGCAGAAATAATACAACAACAACAACAACAAGATTCCATTTATAAAGCGCCTTTCACATCAGGAGGACGTCCCAAGGCGCTGCACAGTTGGGTCATGACCCGAGCAAGGGGGAAATGGTCAGGGTGAGGGGAGGGAAGGGAGGGAGCGAGGAGGGGGGAAATGGTCAGGGTGAGGGGAGGGAAGGGAGGGAGCAAGGAGGGGGGAAATGGTCAGGGTGAGGGGAGGGAAGGGAGGGAGCGAGGAGGGGGAAGAGAGTCGAGAGGGGAGCTGAAGGCAC